CACACAGCCGCTCACTGTTCCCCACCTTACCTAAGCCACATCAGAAGCCTACATCTGGGAAAGAATGGTTTTGTTCTGTTCGTCAAAATAAACTTGAAATCTCATTGTGGGTTGGTTTAAATCCACCAGTCATTATGTTGCAGGTTGTCTGAGGGGCAACCAGCTGGAAGTCTGACCCGATGCACGACTCTGTCTTCAGCGTGGGACAAATTAGACCCAAAATGTGCTCGAATCCGTTGGAAAAAAAAAATTTAAATAATGGGGAGTTATTTTTGTCGTTCCACAACTTTGAAGGATGATGAGAGGTGGTCTTTGAAGTGCCCCTCTCCACGTGTTTCTCCATTGGCAATGTTTCAGCTAACTTTGGGCATTAGAGGAGGCTTTAAAGTAGATATACAAGTCATCTACTTTTTGGGGGAGACGCTTATTAGTATGTAGAGCTTATCTGCTCTTTGCTTTTTGCCTTTTTCTCTCCTCCACTCGATTCCTTTGCTCCTTATTTCTGTCTATCCATTTCCCAAGACAATCTAGCTTTATTTCCTCTTAAAAGTAGGAAATATATTCGTTTTGCTGTCTAAAACTTCTCCTCCCCTGCAATCTTCTGTCCTCCTTCTCTCCTTCCTTTTACCTCCCTCTCACAGAGCTAGAGGTTGTTTTTTTTAAATTAAGAGTCCTTACCTTCCTTCTCCTTTTTGCTTCTTCCTTTAACCAAACTCCTCCTCAGTGTGCCCACACTTACCCATAAATCTATATGTATCTTTTCAATATCTCACAAAAGACCCAACAAAACAGAGGACAGAAACAGTGATGGTACCAATAGAAGAAAAAAAAAAGTAGGAGGAGGAGGAGGAAACATAGGGACAAAGGCTGAGAGGGTAACATGAAGAGACAGAAAGCGGCACATCAAAAAGCAGAGAGAAAAGCTCGAGAGCTGTCTCCGTGTAACAAGACCTTGCCTTCAGCATCATTTCTTCATATGTTGCACATTAATCCTTTGTTTATGAAAGATGGAGATGCCAACTACAGCTGTCCCACGGGGAGGAGAAGGAGCAGAAATATGTGGAGGCAGTGGGAATTTGTGGACGTGTTGAGATTCAGTATCAAATCCATCCATTACCGTGACTCAATAATATGCATTTAGAGAATTAGCTCGGAGTCACTGGGTGAAATGGTCGAGATGTACTGGTAATCTGTTTTTCTCCATTAGTGAGATCTGACTTTGTTCTCTGAATGAAAGAAAAAACAAAAGATCCACTTTGATTTCAGTGTTAGGCTGGTTTTACGTGATAATCCCGTACACATCATGCTGTTGAACTGGAGTTACGTGTTGTTTATGAATCACAGTAGAAGTCACACAAAGAGACACAAAATGCAAAACAAGTGACAGTGTTGACACCCAGAGTTGTTTATAGTGTCGAACCAAGTTGATTTGTGAGAAAGATCATTTAAAAAAGCCAAATTGAGTCCCAACAATTAATCACTAAAGTCATGTAACCAGCAAAAGATAGTTCATTTTGCCTGTTTCAGCTTCTCAAATGCGGGTTTTTGCTGCCATTTTATTATTGTACAATCCATATCTTTACATTTTTGACTATTGACTCAGTAAAAGGAAGCAAAAAAAAAAAAGAGTAATGTTAAATATATGAAAATGGAAAATTACATGGCCATTGTTTATTAACTTTCCAGCAACGTAATTCACAAATTAGTTAGCACCTTATCATGAAGACACTGCTTTACTCCGCACCACTGTCGGCTCTGCTACATGTGCTGCAGAAAGCATTCTAAACAAGGGAGCTGCTCTGTTGGACAGTACATGATGAGACCACTTCTAAATACCCCCCAAAAATCTGTTTTGGCACGTATCAAACAACGCTGATATCGACACAGATCAGCTGATCAGACCAGTCGTTTCTTGATGTCATATAGACTTATTGTTTACTAATCTACTGAACAGCTGATACAAAAGTGAGCATTGTTTGCGCTACTGTCAGATACTTGGTGTAAATATCAGCTGGTTTTAGCAGCAATCAAAAGCCTGAAAGTAACTTGATAGCTCTTGAGACTTTTCAGGGTTGGTTTACAATGCACCTGCCTTTAAAGTTGCTTTCATGGTCAAGCTAAATGGAAAAACAACCAGTGTGTACAGAAACATAAATTCCCCAGCGTGGTCCTCCACCTTATCAGCCCCATACCGCTGAAACCTGCCGTGCTCCCGTCACTGGCATCTTTCAGAAGTTGTCCTTGGATGATTATTGGCAATTTCAGATAAAAGCCTCACTGGCGTTGGGGCTAATTGTAGTTGATGGAAATCATTAACTGTCACATTTATCTTCGATGTGGTATTGAGGCCGTTGCGGCGCATAGGGGCTAATTGTAGCTAGTAGCAGTAGTTGTTATGCGGTATGTTGTGGTGGGGTGCACCTAATTGTAGTTGATAGTAATGGTTCCAGTCTGTGTATACAGCCCGAAGCAGACAAAGGCTGTACTGCGACATCGACGCACACACACACATGCAGCCTTTTAACACACACCTCTTTCTTCTTGCCCACACCCTGGAGCACAAAAGTGCCCCAGAAGTATGCGAAACAAAAAGTGATACCGTTTTAAACAAACACCAGTGACGTCCTGACGCGTTCGCAGCTATAATCGTTACCGTCGTTATTGTTTTGATGCACTTTCGAAGTTCTGATTGGTACGGGGCAGATGGAAACACAGTTAGGTCAGTCAGTGCGTCTTAGGTCGGGATTTCAGCTTCATTGCTTTACCACAACGATCTGTAGTTTTCCACTGTGTGTGTGTGTGTGTGTGTGTGTGT